TGTGGGAATGGTGAAAGGGCGGCGTTAAATACGCCTTCAGAGGTAACAGCTTTTCAATGGCGGAGAGATGTGCGGTTCATAAGCGTACAGAGCACACAAGTTGCGGATGGACTACATCCACGCTCGGTATATTTCAAAACCTGGAAAGAGGAGGTCAAAAGGGATCTGCTTTGTGCTAGATTTCAGGAATTGCGGATTTACTCCATTGGATACTCCAGTTGAAATACCCAAATGTCGAATTATTCCACAAAAAAAGTAATGACACTAAAATTAGACCTTTTTATTGAAATTGCATCGCTGGAGCATATACTATTTAAATACAAAATAAGTAGGTGACCAAAGCAGCGGCGAAGTTTACTGTGGTAATTTCGTATAAGTTATAGAGACCTGTATAGGGGTTATAAATGACAGCTACTCGTCAGTATGTGGATGTGGCATCTTTTATTGCACACTGCTATTTTAATGGCATTTTAACCTTATCCTCATCCCGAGATATTAGGAGAGCATGATGGATGTCATTCGAGCTTATCTACCCTACAAACCGAGTTTAACTCGGTTGCAGAGATGACAAGCTTTTCATAAAATCTGTCGTACGACATTTAGGGAGGTTATGCTATCATAAATGGGGCAGTTGAACGAAAAACCGAGAAGTGTTTTAGGTAAATACGCTGACTCCGCCCACCCACCACTCAAAGTTAAATGCACTAGGTTGGGAAGAAAAACCATTTTTTGACATTAACGAATTACGCAGCGCTGTAGATTCTAGGTGAAGTAATTCGAAATTAGTGCGTCGGCAAAGAATGGCGGCAAAGAAGTTCGGGTACAGTTAGATTGACCAGAAGGTGAATGTTGTGGAAACAAATAACCGAATGAGTGATATACCACCCAATAAAAGAAGGAAATAAGTTCTAAAAACGCCAACTACTTCTTCACCTCTTTCACATACGTTAAAAATGTGCCTTTTGATTTACTTACTGACTACTTATCTTTGAGCATTGATTATCACCAAGTGATCCAGTATTCGTCCCACATTTCCGGAGTAGCACCACTAAACAGCCAGAAGAATATCCTTGCCTTGTGCGTGAATGTCTGTGTGGTTGCGTGATAGGCTGCGGGCGGAAGTATTCACGACGAACTACTCACTTGCTAAAGGCCAAACACTCGGCACAACCAGATAGAGCTGGACACAATGGAAGGAAAATCCCTTAGGCAACAACTGAGACCAGTCAAGTACTCCGAGGTAAGTCCTATTCTTGTGCGAAAACGTAAGTTCCAAGTAATCCTCCCCTTCTCTTAACATTAAACAATCACATAATCCCACGCAAAGCAGACAACTATGGAATGAAAGTGAGACAGGAAGGGAAGTGAGTAGGACCAAGAATTTTCTCCGTTTCTATAATGTAAAGCGTCTGATAAGGGATTAGCATAAACTTTCGTCTCATTGGGGAGAGATTTCAAACAATTCTAAAAAGGGTACATCAACCAGTTCGCTAAGCTCACGGAGGAAAGAGGAAAAATTCTCCCAGACTTAATAGCAAACATGTCTAAATGATAAAAACTTGAGCAGAATTAATAATCAGATGCAAATCGTGTGCAGAGCTTCTTTTACGTATTATTTTTCACATTACTTTGGAGACTGATTCCGACTTTTACAAGGATAGAGGGGCCGAATACAGATCGTGAGAAAGCAAAGCTTAAGCAAATGCAATCCCCGTGAATATTGTTGAAAATTTTGGAAGAATGAAACCGTTAAGCACTGTGGTAACTTGAAAGGAAACAGGACGAGTAGAGACAAGATGGCCCTTAAAAACTTGATGATTAGAGCACACGAATAGATATTCGGTGTAAAATCACTGGAAAACTTTTAAGATGGAGGGCTTTTGATGAGTGATGAGGGGTTTTCAAACAGCTCCCGACGATTTTCTATGAGTACTTTTGGGAAACCGTTGATTGTATCTAAAGTTTGGAGTCAACTAATAAACAATGAAAAGGCTTTCTAGCAGACCCAACAACTAGACCTGCGTGTAAAGTCGACGCGAAGGCTTAGCCATTTAGTCTTTCAGTGAGAACTTTACGACAAGAATAGCCAAACTTGATCTCCGTTTAACAATGCTGACTTTTGTGACTTATACTTTAGGAAACAACAGCCAATTGGAAGGAACGACATGAAGATTAAATCTGGTTCAGAAGCACTTGTTCAGGAACTTCCAAACAAATCTATGGTTATTATGATCATTCAAAAGCGGATATTAAGAACAATGAAACGATGTACAATAAACCACAAGATTTGAGGCTGAACTATTATAGTTCCTATAGTATAGTATTCTACCATCCCCAAGGGAGAAGACCTTGAACATGGGTTTTTGCAACTGAAAACTTAAGCAAATGTAATCGCACTAGGGTCCCTTAAATGTCATTTCTCTAGAGTATAGTAGGAAAATTAAATAGGAAAAGAATCAAAAATGGATCCCTTCCATGCTTACTGAAGACGGGAGAAACGCAAATAAAAATGCAGGCACGAGCACTTAGAACAAAAATTAGCAGTGAGATTTTATAGACTCACTTGAAAGGACGAGGTAAACATGCACAAGAGTGGGGATTAGATCCAAAACGATGAGCTGTAGGGCCGGGCTACTGCTTTGCGCGAGATCGTAGATGTGGCCGCAGATAGTCTGTGCCATATTTACGGCATCTGACGTGCAAACGGGAATAGCAAAAATTTCGTAGCAGAGATTTTGAATGGTCCCCACGATGAGGGGACTAGGAACAGAGGTGTCGTCGTTGACCTCTTCCTCAACCTTCTCCATGTGGCGATGCCGTTTGGCTGTTGTACTGATGGTATTGAACCACAACTGCACAGGTTTGGGGATTTTAAGTCGCATCTCTACACTGGAGAGGAGATAAAACACATGCAACTCATTCTAGCCTATTGTAAGGAATAAGAAACCCTGTACTAGTGAAATGCAAAAGCAAATTGGCTCAGATAATATAGAAGCACAAGTCAAGGAAACAGATTAACGAATATAAAATCGATGATTCACAAAGATAAGGTTCAAGTGCAACACTGACTTAGGGTGAATTCAAGGGGAATTTGTGAGTACCAATGCATAAAATAGATTTGTGATGAGTAAAATTGCCCTATGTTGACAACGTCAGTAGAGGAAAGCGGCAATTCGACTCCCTTAAGGAGAAGGACACATAAAGCAAAAAACAAATAGACAACTTTGCATAGTAGCAAAGGGAAATCGAAATCGCGAACGAACTCAGCACGCACAAACCATCATAAAGTATCTCAAGGACAACTGCAAGACGCGCTTCTTTATTAAAAGACTTAAACGCACCACGCAAAAAAAGAATTGATGGCAACAAATCTAGAATTTCTTAAAAAAACTGACTACTTGCAAATAAAAACGCGAAATAATGACGTTTGTTGCACATTTGTTGCACATCTGTCACATGTACTTCATGAACGATTGTTCTGGAAACCAAGGTGAGGAAATAAATCTAGTGACTCACAAAAACGCCTGTGCAGTGAAAATATAGTAACTTTGTTTTTATTAAAGGTGGTGCGAAAGCTGTGAATACAATTTCAATGTAGACATTTGATGACCGACGCAACCACCAATACCAGACATCTAGGCAAACTATTCGCCAATCGTGGATGCAAATAATGATACATGCATACGTAAGGGTTCAAAATAGAGCAAAACAAAATAACAACATCTTTTAGAAATTTAAAAGCTACTTTCAAAGCCGTTTTTACAACTCTCACCCAACTTATGTATTTCGATTTGTTTGTTTAGAAAAAACGGTTCACAGAGGTCAAAAAGTACAAATACTTTGTTATTTAATGCTGCATAAAAAGGAGATATCTGTTTGATTGCAGTTTTTACCATACATGCTTGCTTGATAAAACCATTTGGGTGAGAATAGGTCAATATGCACTAACCTAGTGACTGCAGACACCATTGACCCTTACGTGGAGCGAGACGCATCGGTCTCCGCTTCCCTATTCCTAGCGTTCTTTGACAGGCCTGGTTGATTCTTCTTGGACATAGTTATTAAAGATGAAAAGATGAAGAGGGAAAATACAACGATAAAGAAGGAGGGGAACCGCAGTCACTAAGTACGGGCGAGGACGATCCAGTGACGAGATTCGAATTTTCTGGTTGCCTCTTCCCTCGAAGGTACATTAAAACAACATTGGTATTGCACTTAAGCAGAAAACTTACTTCGGTTAAATATAGACAGGTCACTTGTACCCAATTCATAACACCATCAGATAACAGGTGTCCTCATCTAACCCGTTTGCAAGCCATAAGTGCGGGAAGGCAAATGTAAAAGCAAGGAACATCCAACCTGTTTCCTTTTTTAAAAAATCATATTTTGAGATTAGTTTTAATGCTTCATTGGCTTGTTTAACAGCTTGAGCATGCACATAGGTTTCTGCAGTTTGTGACTCTTCTTGGCCGCATGGCCACGGGGCCGTGCCAGTAGCTCCAGTCCTTCTTGCATCAATGATACTGCTATGCTACCGTGACCTCTTAAGAGTTTATTCATTTATTTATTCATTTTTTTATTATCAAATCTACCATGCAATGTGCGTCAAGGTTATTTTGTATGTGTTTGAGCTTACCATTTTTACGAACTTTGGTGTGGCGATTTTATGGTATTAGTAGAGGTCGAGCTATCGAGAATGCAAATAAGGTTTCATGGGCAATTTTTACCACCCCTGCTTAGCTTTGCATTTGTCGCCTCGTAAATAAAACTTTGCTATTGTTTTTATGGTGCCGGATATCACGATATCATTTAAAATGCGTTTATGCATTGGCTCAGTCGCGCACAAAGATTTTGTTGCATTGGCACTTTAAGCTGACTTTTGATTCTGCCATTAGAGTTGTCTGCACCCTAAATGTGGAAGGCATGCGTAAAGCTTGTGTTTTTGCCGCTGCCTACTGCTATTATTATCTTATTTCTTGCATACCTGTTTTGCGCGTCGATGCCACTTTATCTTCTCCCACGGTTTTCTAATTTCGGCATAGCTAGTGAGCCAAATCAAAACTTTTAATTTGCATTTAGTTTTGGATTTTAATGCTCGTTGCGCTTTAAATTGCTTTATTGGGGTGCCACTACCTATGAAAACTTGGTGGAATTTGTGAATATATCATCTTTTGTGATGCAAAAGGTGGAGTGTACATTTATACCCTATTTTATTATGTACACTTTACTCTTTAGATGATTTAATGGAATTCAATTTGCTTTCATTGAAGGTTTTTTAACTTGTGAAAAAAATTCCAAAATTTGAATCCACTTGCAGATTCCATTGAAGTGGAATTGGCGTTGATTAACACCGTTAAGGACCGTAATGGCCGAATTTCCCTCTTCAAACCCATCTTCCTCTAACGGTGTCATTTCGGGTTCCACTCAGTCAGCTTCAAGTAAGCGTACCCAACTTTTTCCTCTGCGCATTTAAAAACTCCAAAATTTGAATATCGACTTTTTTCCCTGTAGTCGGCGTTTTCGATGCTGAGGAGGTCCGAAGAGAGACTGTCTTGGTTGCAAAACCGCCTCTAAGTCCCGTCCCTACCCACCAATCACAAATCACTCATCGCTTCACCACCTCCAGTACACTCCCTCGAGCTCCGCAGACCTCCTCTCGAACCAGTCCGCCAATCGGAGCTGTCGCCAGCCTAGCAATCAGTGGGGGGATGAGCCAAGAAGAGCTCCTTCGCCTTGGCCAGAATCGTCCCCTGCCTGTCTCTATTCGCTCCACCCGTGCAGCCGCTGTTGTCTTACGCGGTGGAGGTGTGCGCGGAGGACTGCGTCGAGGCCATCACACTGCGCCTCCCGGAACTGTTCACATCGGTCGGGTGACACGTGTCGCCAGGTGTGATATTTGCCTATCCCCACCCGGGTCGGCGCTTTGCAGCTTCAACCCAAGTCCACGTAGTTCGCCTCTGCATCTAACCCGTGTTGGAGGTATCGTAGCTGACACCAACGACCGAAAGTCCTCACTCCCAGTACTACCAACGGATCAATTGGTAAGAGTTGGACCCGGAACCGTAGTGAGCACTCGAGGACAAAGCTACGCACAGATAAACTGGTACCCCCAACCTTATAAGTCGGCATCAATTGAGGCCACCTCAACGTCTACTTCGCCGCCGCTGCAGGCAACACGGAGTGTACCTAGCGGTAGCGGCACACAAGCCGAGAGTGCGATTTCTTCGCAAGTTTCTATGCTCTCTGATGGCACTGATAATGCGGAGAGTTGTGGACATGTGCCAATCTCGCCAGGTGGACATTCGACTAGTTCGGGTGAGTTTGGAGATCTTTTTTAATCGAAATTATCAGAGTACTGTCAACTTTGGTAGAATTTGAGTAGTACCATGCCAACGAGGCCTATGTTTTCAGATAAAAATAAGAATAGGCTACATACATAAGCTTATTTTGATCAATTCCACTTATTCGTTCCCTGATTGCAAGCCTTTTGGTTTGTATTATTACAAATTTCGGTGTTCTATTTATCGGATTTCTGATTTTCTAACAGTAACGGTAATCACGCCTTTATGATGTACCATGTTGGGGTTAATTTTACCTGTTTTCAGTCACAATCTCACTGCCTTCTCAATTACCAACTAATAAGATTTCTTAATTACATCCTTCTTCATGGCTGACTTTCCTTTTCTCGTGGGACCCGAATCAAATAGGCAACTTTAATTTTTACTTATTGGAAGGTTAACAACAAGGAATTCAATTCTCTAACTGCGTACAAACCGTTTGCGTTTTTATAGATAAAAAGGAAATATACCAAAATACCAGAAGTGAGTTTTTTGTTCAGTGGCTACTGCTCTATGAGTAGAGTACTATTATCCCCAAAACAGTTGGTTGTTTTGATTTTCGATGTAAAGTGGCATTCGTGCTCTTGGGGCAGTTCCTAAATCAGCCTTGTTTAACTGAGCAATAGTTTGTCTCACATTTGAATAACCCTGCCTGCTTTAATTTTCCTTTATTTCATCAGAATAGTAAAGCGACACCCCATAGAGCTTCAAATTCATCCCGTCCTCAAGGCGAGAAAATGTCAATAGTGTTCCTTTTTACATGAGACGTTGTTGTCTGTCTTTTCCTAAATTGCACATTTTCTGTCCTCATTCTTATTCATTGCCACGGTAAATCCCTCCCTGTGTGTGAATTCATTTTAAAAATGAGGTCCATTGAAAAGTCAATGTTGGAGGTCTTTAGAGTAGCACATGTTCGGGATTGATAAAAGAAAAAAAATTATGCTTAAAAGGTCAAATTCTGCCGTTGTAGTTGCTATCTCCAAGACTGCAATTTGAAAACGCAAATGATGGAAACTTTTTAGCCAATGCAATGAATTTGGTTGATTCTTATTTTCTTCGCAAAACATGATGTTGTACATCAAGTTAGAAAATTTTGCTTCCTGGTCTTTCTAAAAAACGCGTGTTATGACGTAGGCGTTTTCAGGTGGTGAAGTAACCCCCGGATATGTTCAACTTTCAATTTTCAATCATACAATCTGTAACTTCCCTTTTTGGAGCAACATGCATTTGCAAAACACTTTGTCTTCAAAGAAAGACAACGTGGCTCTGGTCAATTCGGATTTGGTCTCAAGTTTATTTGCCCGGCTGTCTGCCAAGAAATGGTGAGGGTCATTACGTGAGAAAGATCACCATAGGAGTGCGGTGGATGGATTGAGGCTGTAAGCCTTCCGTTCTAACATTGAACGTTAACAATCGTAACATATGCTACTGATAACTGAAAACCTCTCGGTATAATCCAATTGTCTTTCGTAAATAGCATCCATTTCTGGAGGGGATGCCCCGTGCGACATTAACGCCACTTTTCGCGTTATTTTTCATCTCTTTCATGAAAAGAAACCAGGTCATTTGCGTCGAACCTTTAAGAAAGTGAAAACACATGAACACGTCTGTGAAGTATCCAGAAGTATAAGCTAAACCTGTCAAGTATGACAATATCGAGAGAGGCGTGAATGTGTCAATGTATGCCATTACAAAATTGTCATTCAGCACCTCTCATAGTACAAATGGGGCTCGACTTTCAAAAGTGTGGGAAAAGTCTTCTATTAGCCCTATTTTTACGCATTTTGAAGGGAGCATAAATCGCGTGCTGCGTGACCACTTTTGATCGGTGGGACAGCTTGAATGTGCCAAAGTGTAGTGACCAAATTTTCTTAAACTGATAAGTCCCGTCCGGTGTCAAGTTTGCGCATTTTTCGAAGCAAACCATGACACTCCCTCGTGGTAATTTGTAGGTACTCGGAAAAAGGCAATCGTTTCTGTGAAAGATAAAACAAAATAGCGCTTTATACTATTTCCCTTCACCCCCACTCCCCCGTTATTTTAAAACTCCCATAAAATGGGAGGTTAAATCTGATGTCTCTGATTGGAGGCTTGGCTGCTGCGTTTACGGCAGTTAAACTTGGCTCCAAAGCTGCAAAACCCTTCTCGCAAAATTTATTGCAGCATTTAGAGGTGGTACGGTAGTAAGATTTATCGTCCATGAATGGCCTTAATCAGTGGGTGGATGCAACATGCGGGGGTCTTTTACCCTTCCCAAATTAACAGTTGCATATCTCCTATGAGGGGATTTCGACAGTGTTTGAGGGATGAAGTATTCCACTTACTATGGGTCATACGGATCAGCCTAAATGACAAGTAAGTTGCTCGACACTTTTTCCTGGTTTCTAGACTCTCTGCTGAGGATACTATATACTGCGGACTCCCCGGGGCCGATTAATAACGTCGCATTTTACCCTTTCGACAGTTGAAGTACCAATGCGGAACTTAAATCTCGGCTCCTGTCCCATTCCATCTACCTCGGAGGAGGGGGTTCATTTTTTCGGCTCCTCCTACACCGCCACTACGGCTGACTCGGCCACCGCCACCACCTCCACTAATGCCACCATGACCGGCTTAGACGCTGTTACGGGTCAATCACCACCCAAGTCAGTTATCCAATTCTCTGAGGGACTTCATTTGTAATTTTCCTTTCTTTAAAGTTCTCTTTATTGTCTATCAATACGGACTTACGGTGATGATTTATTTTCCTACCCAGCTTACTAAAAATAGGTAAAAAGTTGACTTGACATAACATGTCAAGACGTGACATTTCCTCGAGTATCATTCTATCCCAACAAAAGCCTCCAAGAATGGGCTTTTAGCTGACTCTTTTACCGTAAGAATGGCTGTCATGTAAACCGGTCCTTCAATTCGTCCACGCCAAAGTAACTCTTCATCTTCTTCCTTCTTGTTGTCAAGGGAAGAAGGTAAACTGAAAACCATCCTGAAGTCTGGCATCATTACTTACTTCACCTGTTTATAAAGGCGAAAAAAACTCCTCCTTTTTTACTTTTTTTGCACATTTATTCGTCCATGCCTAGGCAGCGAATCCGCTTTGTGGTGTGGTGCATGACTTCAAAGGTATGCGGATAAATTACGATGTGTTTTTCCCCTAAAAGGAAGAAAAAGGGAGGCAAGGGGCAAGACCCAATAGCAGAGAGTCTTTCGCACACCTGAAGATGACAAAATTGACATTTGAGAGGTCCGAACCATCTTGGAGGATCTTCATCAACTGCCTTCCGCTTGTCAAGCATCTTTGTCTTTTAACCGACCAACTGACGCCCCTTAAGTGTTTTTTTCCAAAGTGTCAGGCAGGCTATGCAGAACACGTGGTCACTTGTCAATCAGTGTCACTTGGTTAATGACATGACAAGACGTCGAAATATCAGAAAAGCGTGTCTCATTGTACTTTTTTAGGAAAAAAACAAATGGGAAGAGGGGTTTAAATTTAAAGGAAACAAGGAACTGGAATATCTAATTGACATTAGTGGAGAAGGAGGGAACCGCTTTCGGCTGGATCAAAACGTGGTTCTATGACCTGTTGTAGGATTCCGTTTCTAGAAGGGATTCAGGATAATAAAGAGGCTATCAAACCCGTATTGATGGTGTTGACATTCAAAAGGTTTCCACTTCTTCGGAGGCAAGGATGAGGAAGAGGCGCAGACATGGAGTTGGCTACTTCCCTCCAGTAGCCAATGGCGTAGAAAGAGAGATGCCTGTAGAAGAAGAAGCAGCACTCCATCACGGGGTTGCTTTTCTTGGTAAAAAAATATCCCTAAGGTAAAAATTCATTTCCGGATGAGTAGACTGAAGAGAGGAAAAACTGATAGATGTAGAACTTTCGGGACATTCAGTGAACCATGACTACTGCCACATACAGGGGGTGAAGGAAAACTGGAAGGCGATGAGAGCTGAATAGGGGAGTGCTTGATCCCCCCAATGCTGTAGAAAACAGTGCCCAGAAAACGATGGCTAAATAGTTCCTTACTGGGAAAATTGGACGAATTTACTTCATGGGAGTCTTCTTGGAAGGCTTTCGCAGCCCCACTGATATGCATCATAAGTTGTGGTGATTAAAAGGTCGCAGTAAAAAAAGGTCAAGATGTTTTCCTTTCGAGTAGGGCCTTCAGACCTCTACAAGATCGTTAAAACCCAGTCGGTGTGTCCTTTACGAGGCAAAAAGGGTAGGCATCAAGATATCATGGAGGCGTTATTAATGTATTTTTTTGTTTTCCCTTTAACCGACATTTCGTCCGCTTTGGAAGATACCCTAGTTCCGTGTCACCCAGGGCTGGACAATGTCCGTGAGAGCACAAGCCCAAAAAGGGAGTTACTAATTTAAGGACGAATTGAGTTAGATTCACATGCTGTTTTGTTTCCATTTCATTGTCTCCTAGTCCTTTTTTCTGGATTCCTTCCAGCTCTCATGGATGGAAGCTTCAATTGTTATTGGTCTTCCTGCGAAACAGGAATTTGGGAGGATAATAGCCGGGAGCAGACGTCGCTTTTTTAGCCCCTTCAGTCGGAAGTCCCCACAGACTTACATAACACGCAGCAGATAGCCATAGAAACGGGAATGTCTGCCTCTTTCTACTGGGTCCACTCGCAGTTCCTGTCAACGTAGTGCCCCACTCCGAGGGTTGCCTTATCAGTTTGGAAGATGTATTATTGAGGTACAGCGGGTCTGAAAGGTTACAGGCGTGTTCAGTCTGCGGAGGCCAAAGGGTTTGCATCTTTAAAGAAGGTCCTACCTCCTTGTAAAGTTATTTACTCTATAGCCTGCGCAGTAGCCTTCTGTTTAAACTGGAGGGGAATTCTAGATGACACACTGATTCGTTCGTCTCTCTACAGTCTTCAATGTCCGAGGTCAAAGATTAGGACTCCGGAGCCCCTCGAACGTTCACTTGGCTATTTCCACGATCACGAGCTCTACAATTTATCCTCGAGGAGACGAACAGTTATTAAAAATGTCAAAAGAGCCCTGAATGCGTGTCGTGACAGTCCCAACACCATGCTAGGCGACCAAGTAACTAGCTCAAGTAAAAGTTAATTTTACTTCCAAAAATTTGCTATCTCTTCTCGGCAGTGATTGAAAACTTGGTCCAGTGATTGGTGGCATTTTATTTAACCAGCTATCAGAAAGTCGTCTGGCTGTGTCAAAAGTGAGCAGTAATCAAGTCAAGACTGGAAATCGGATCCATTGTTGATTGATAAGATAAAAGACCATTCGTTCGTAAAGGCAGTTTGTTTTGGCTCCTCTCGTGGTCACGTGATGTTCGTCAATTTGAGTCCTATTGTTTCGTAGGTCACAATGGAATCACATGACCCCACGTCATTTGACCGATCACGTGGCCAACTATCATTCCAGAAACCGGTCAAATTGATGGTACGAGTGAAGAATCTACTCCCCATTGATCCAGCTAACAAAGAACAACATAAATTTTGTTTTTCTCTTGTTAAGAAGCCATCAAAGTTATTTTTTTTTTTTTGCTGTTCAATTCAGAGGTGAGACCACCTACCAACAACGGTTGTATCATCAACACATTGCTCGGAATGTTCGTAATCTTCGACGCTATCGCCACATCTATGGCGATTCGGTAAGGCCACCCTTCTTTTCTTTGAACAGAAGGCGGAAAAAATGATGACATATGGTCAAAGCTATTTTAAAAGGCGCTAATTTTAACATTTCCACTTCAAATTTCTGGTTCTTTAAAGACCTGATAGGTATAGAAAAAGCGAAGTTGACTTTTGACAGGCCTAAGTTGATTCAGCTGACTTTATGAGGTTCTACGAGAGGACTTCTTTCAAAATACCCACGAGGTGAAAATAACCCCCCTACCGTCTTGCGTACTTTGAAGTTGACCTCGGTTCTGGCCTCAACCAAGGCGCCCTCCAGCGAGGAGCGAGAGAACTGCACCAGTTCAGCCCCTTCCATGCAGCATCGACGAAGTTCAGCTGACGAGGTGCTGATAGTTCGAGTGGAGGGTGAAAAAGGGGAGCCCACATCACCACTATCGCCACCACCGACATCGACCAAGTTGATATCAAGCCTGGAGCAGCGTCGTAGACGTCGGCACCTCTTCATTTCCCATCGGACTGTTCACAGTGAAGCACAGCGACAAGTGGACGAGGCGATTCCCGTGGCGAATGTCATTGTGGCATTGGAGGGTGATGAAAACACCGTACGTTTGGGTGTTTGTAGTTCTTTTTTTTCTAAGGAAGATTTGGAATGCACCCTGTTTTGCTTCTCCCTCCTTTGATGATCCGACTGGAAGACTATTTCACTCATCCCACCCCAATTTCTTCGATTCCAAGGAAAGAAAAAAACATTTTATGGGAACTGGGTGCTCTAATTAAGGCAGAAAAGCAATTAGTGAAGGTGCATGCATGAGAGAAATTTTTTGTGTCTCCCATCTAGCTTCACTTTTCGCTACAGTTGAATGCCCTTTTGGGACCAAAAAAGGTAGCACGACAGAAATGCTGCAAGTTTGTTTTATATATTTAATTTTTCATTTTTAAAATGTGAAATTCATGCAGGAAATAAACCAACTTAGATGTCGGTGAAATACGTAAGAATGCTCTGATTTTTCCTCTCGAGTTGAGAGTCTGATATTAAAAGGGGTTTTACTTTCGGTTTGTCTGAAGTAAGGAAATACTTACGTCGGACCGTTCGTCGAAGAGATTCGAGTTAGGGTTTTGTATCCTCTAAGACTTGCAAAAGATGACATGAGGCCGTGTCTCATCTTCCCCTTCCCCTCCCATCTCTTTTCCTCCCACCCTTCCTCTCTCCCATCCCAAAGGAGTGAAATCTAGCTGGGATATGAGGTCCCTGCGCTGATAGGAAAGTTCGAAATAGCACAGAACACAGATAAAAAGTGCCCTACTGACGGACTGTCAAAAATCTACGCGTATCTTTGACAGGTTTGTTCAATCTTCAATGGGTCATAGGAGGTATCCATGCCTTGTTGTAAATTCGCCCAATATTTTGATCATCTGACGGCCAACCGTACAACAATTTATCTCTTCTAGAGGAAGAAGGAAGCATCTTCACGAGAAATGCACCCAAGCTGCCTTAATTTCGGTTAATATGGCCATGAACACTTCTGCGGTCGCCTTTATTCATCCCAGTCTCAAGCGTCTTTGGTAGCCGTTGCCATCAATGCAGCGAACATGGCATTTTTGTTAACTCTCTCAAGGTAGCTGAATTATGCAAGCTCTCGGCCACTTCCCTCCTCTGCTAGAAGGTTCAGAGGTGCGATGAAGCCTGCGAAGCCTCTCCTTCCCCAACAACTCTAGAGCAAAGGGTGAAACGATCGTCCTTCCCACTGACGAAGGCATTGAGGAAAGGGTACAGCACCTCCAGATGAGACTCGACGCTTCTAACGTAGCACTTCAAGACTTCCCTGAATGAGAAGAAAGACATAACACCCGATCAGAATATGCATTGTCGACGAACAGGAGGGCTTGGGGCTACTGACATGGTCCTGAAGCCAGGCCGCCCGTCGGAGCCCCTTAGATGGTCCGTTACCAAAACCTAGAGTTAAACAAACAATTAAAGTATTGAATCTATGATGGGGATCAAGGGATAAATGTGCCCTGAAATTTAAAAACTACTAGAATATGTTGAAACAACTACAATCGCCCCATTGACGTTTAAAGGGGGATGCCAGTAAATACCTCTCCACTCCTCCCCACTCCTCCATCCCCCAAGATCTAAGAGCGCCTTCATTACTGCGAACGCTTGAAACAGGAGTAAACAAGTCTTTGACCTTTCCACCGCTCAACTTCCCCTTAAAAATAATGGAAAAGTTAATCGCTTTGACATCCCACTTTATCATCTTTTGCGCAGAGGAGTCATCATCCTGCACAAACATAATCTCGACGGCTCTTGAATATCCTACTTTTTTTAGGAAAAAAGAAAGATTTTCTCACTTTTTTACACTGTCTGCTACATAAATTTAAAGTACTAACTTTTGCCTCCTTTTTCTCTCCCCTCCCACCCAATCACCTTGGGGTCCCCTCCTATGCCCCTCCAGTTGAACAAGTCACTTCACCAGCTCCCTCGTCGAAGCGCTTTCAGTAGACCGGGCTGTTGCAAAACAGTCGAGATGACTCGCTTTGGTCTTGGCGCCAATTGATGTCGCCTAGATAAACAAACAAGGAGCTTTCCTTCTTCGCCCCTTTTACTTATTTCCCTTATTTCGTTGTTTTACAGAGACCGCCCAAGTCTTTGTGGCTTCATCGGAGGTGTTTCGTATACAATGGATATATATTCTTAATTTCTTTAACGGAGAATGTGGCCTCGGTAATCTCCACAAAAACTAAGGTGAGTTGGTGATGAGAAAGGAAGAAAAAGGAGGACAGGGAAATATTTACTCAAAACTTGTAAAAGCTCCCTAATGCTTGCCAAAAAGAAAAACAAAAAGGCGGTCAAACATGTCGCTAAAGTTTAGGCGGCCTTTAAACCCCCCCGTTGAAGATCGTCTTGACCATAAATGATTCCGAAGAAATTCTTTTCACAAAAAACATAAATTCATGCATTATATGGTGAAGTTTTTGCAAAAAATTTAGGGGGAGGGGTTTAGACTCTTTTTGTCCTTCCGGCATGGCTCTCGATGTCACCTGCTCATCCGCGCGGGTGTTTAATCTGATCGCCTGTCGCCTAAAAAGAAGGTGCATTCAAACAAACATCTATTACAGCATGAATGAGGATTTGGAAGAATGGAAGCTGTTCAGAAGTCAGTAAAATAATTTAGTTTAGTTACCGTCCAGTCTGTTTAAATACAGTCGAGGTGGCAAAGACAATTTGTTTGGCGACTTAAACAATTTAAAATCATATTTTTGTGATAAATTAGTGGCTCTACTTTTTATCTTTTTTGCCTACTTTGGTCGCTTGACGTCCGGGTAGATAAAGTGAGAATTCGCTAATTGGGAAGAAATTACTTTTGGCTCGGAACTTCAAACACACCTTCCCCCCTCAACAACCCCAGTGAGATGTTTGCAAGTCCCATTTCAAAGGTCAGAGCGCTGTGTGGGGGCAGGCTTGCAGAGGACTGAAGTACCAGCACAAGGGTATTTTGTCGGCGTCAAAAATAGGAGACAGGTTGTAATGGCTAGTTGTACCAACTGGTTTCGCAAACAAACAGGCGGAGGTAAAATCGCCACGATGGAGGTGGAATGTTTCCTACCTGGTGGGCAGCTTAGCGCTGGAGACCACTAAAATATTGCGTCTCTGGTGGCAGATTTTTACTCCAGCACCCTGGTCGAGCTCGTCTGAGCAACGTCCTCGGCGCTCAACGGTACCTGAGTGGATGTATGGCTGAGTGGAGGAGAACATTTTCTCTGATGAGGCCACTCTTTATCGCCTATTTTTGGTCTCAAGAACCACTTTAAATCCCCAGTAGTAAAGTTATCACGCGCTTGCTAAAAAACAACCTAACACGGTTTCTATTTTTATCACACTCCGACTCCAGTCCATTAAAGTTCATCGATGCGAGCGCTTTATGCAGGAAAAAAGGAGAAACCAAAAACTGCCTCCCCCCTTAATCAAGCACTGGCAAGTGAATAAATGGAGTTGTCTTCATTCCTAGACTGAAAAACCTCCTCTCCTAGCGCTGTATTTGACCTTTGAAGGCGCGCACACACACATACAGTCACTGATAAAAAGGCCTCGTTGTGGAATTCGCCTTTTATTTCGCTAGGTATGGCTTTACGTCATGAATAATTAAGGTAAATTTATGCGCTTTGCATGTTTGATTTTAAAGCAAAACCCTCGAAGTGTTGCTTGGTGTGGAATTGGTCAAAAATAGCCTCAAAGGTATGTCCTGATCATTAAAGCATCGTTGGCGATTGCAACAAATGGGGATCCACAGGACTCAACTATCTTGGTGGAAATGGATCATTATAAGGGCGAAAAATACCCACTTTGATGCTCTTTTGTGGAAAAGTTCTGTGGTGTTCATAACCTGTCTTGAAAAGTTGAAATAATCTTTTTGTTTAGTACCTGACCAATTATCAAGGAAGGCGTTCTGTACTCAAACAAATTGTAGTTTATGCGAAAACTAACAATGGACCATTAAAACAAGACGAGGTAGATCATTTAAAGTTCACATTCAAGAAGTCAACTGATGACAACCCGTTTATTCAACAGCGCAAAATTATCGCCTTCAGTTGCTTACTCAACTTTAGCAAAATAACTGAGCAAAATTTCTATAAACACGCTTTTGCTTCTTTGAAAAAAGTGGGGTTGCTGTTCCACTTTACCGCTTTTTTCGAGTGGAGCACCCCACTTTTTGCTGAACATTTTATGAATTAAAAAAGACATCAGAAAACAAATTTTCCCAAAGGGAATTACTTCCCTTTTGTTTCGTGTGTTGTTGTGTCTGATTTTCAGAAGTGATTTGTTTTTGGGACTTTTAGACCTGATTTATTTTTCTTTCCGGAGGAAAGGAGTTGCATTAAGTCGGGAATAAAAATAGAAAATCTGGAAGGTATTTGACACCGATTTCCCTGTTGAAGTTGCCATCTATAATGCCCCTCCAGCCATAAATTCCACCTTTCTTGAGTATTGTCTACGGAAGCCAGGAGGAAACCCAATCCTAGTCAGCTTCATTCTTGTCCCTTCTTATTTTGCATCCGATTGAGTTATTGCCTGGCGTCCACGAAAAGTTGATATTATTTTTCTATTAGCTTGTTGAAGTATCAAGGGAGTACGGCGGATGGGGGTGAGAATGAGATCAGGTGGTATCTTCCACTCCAGCCAAAGTGTAAATATTTTCGCCTCGTTATGCTGCGTAGTGCTTCCGATCAGTTCATTTCGCCAATGCTGGCGATTTTTGATGAAAAATTGCCTTTTTTACGCATTTATTTTGCATTTGGTTGTAATAGGTGGCCAAACCTCAGACTTCAGCAAGCGACCAGCAGTGTCGGCCGCTGCGTAGTCGGCTAGGCATGGAATGGTGCCTTAGGGGTGTGAGGCGGTTACCTAGTGGGTCATTTGGGGGTAACCAGCGATGCGTTTATTTGCCAATCCGATGCATATGAGACTCGCTTTGATATTTTTTTCCAAGATTTACGTAGCTGAAGCAAGAAACATTTAATTGGTCCATCACTCACGTTAAACATTGCCAAATGTTTTTTTCATTCTTGACACCATAGTCTCGATCACCGGCAATGACACGCAGTTTCCCACTATTGTCAGAAATGAGGTATTTGCCCAAATCCGAGGCATGTAGCCTTGTGTAATTCATCGCAACAATCACTGTTTGGTCCACTTACGGACTGTACGCTCTAGTAGCATTTGCCGCGCCCTCTCCTAATGCCACACATTAAATGTGATGGCGAATTTCTCTTGCCTTGGAGCCTCTTCATTGCCGGGTTCCGAAGAAGCGGAAATTGGTGGAGGGCAAAATAATGCGCGCTGTAGTGATGATGGGGTGATGCGTTTGCCCCAATGCTTTAAAATGCATGCCTAGAAACGATGAACTGAATTTAACGTGACCTTAACAATGGCTTAACCAACTTTTTTTCAGGTATTTATTAGTTCATATCCATTCCATCGCTGTTATCAGGCCTAATGGATAGGTGAAAGCTAGGTAACGTTTCTGTTTTATTGGGTTGATGCCAAAGCACTGGAGTAAAAAACTCCTTTGCAAAGGTTTAAGTATTTTTCCGTCTTTGTTTTTTTTGTTAACTAACTAATATTCACGAAAAATTCCTTGTTGATTTGACTTTACTCCGCCGTGACATTTTACTAGCTGCACAAATTAAAACGTCCCATCTCCGCCAGGTTGATTTATTGCATTTTAAAATTTGTTAAAAATGGAATGGAACTTTGTTTTTTCTTGCAAAAAGGCATTATACTTTTTAAGTTTTCGCAAACAATGCTTACTTCTCAATATTTTTATAAATTTTATTTGCTTAAGGAACTTTTACCAGTAAGCTTGTGCCATTTTTTTGTTAAATTGGGTTCACGAATATGACCCTGAGGTAACCATGGTAACCACCGAATTGAGAACATTGGCTTAGGAGTCACTAGGTGTGAACAATTCAAAGTGGTATGTCCTAAGACAATCCCCTAAAAGTGCATACGTCTGTGTCCAAGGCTCGGGCTTTACATAATTGTAAGGAGGAATGGGCAAAGTCTATTCCACCGCTGGAGAATCGCGCCCACCGAGGGGTCGATATAGCACCTGGTGTGCGTAAATCACACAGCTTAAGATAAACAAGGAACTCCCTCGCCTTGTATGCAGGATCGTAGCTTGCTGCCCCACTACCTACCCACCTGGCTAGCTGGATAGCTGCTGCCTGCCTGTCTGCTTGCCAACCAGCCAGCCAGCCAGCCAGCCTTGTTGCTCCAAAGCACCAATCGTAGGCGCATTTTGTCCAGTCGCTGCCCAATATAGTCCTGCGCCCTTAGGTTATGGTCAGGCATGTTCCCATGTCCTGTGCGGAGGCATGTTCCAATGTTAAAAATACCCACTTCCCCCGGGGTAGAGGCGAATACAAGAACACACACTGGTGAACACATGCATTGGGGCTGTTCGGATGTACTGTCCGTTGGCGGTTTTATGCGAGGCTCTTGGGACAGGCATTCTGGGTAATGGTTCCTGGATTTTTGTGATTTGGGAGGCATATGGCGGTGGCTTAATTAACGTCGCGAATTAAATGAATACCTAGCATTGCGTCCGATTTACTGCCAGCGATGTTACGAGGCTGACAAATATTCGAGCTACCTTTGCTAGGGAAGTATAATCAAAGCCCTACAACAGTGGTGATAGGCGACAGGCCACAGAGCTTCCGTTCCGTAATGCGAGTTGCCCTCGATGGGACTCCTCGGTCCTACTTTTCATTGGAAATTGTATTAATTGGGGTTATTTGGATGCAGGAGGAGATACCCTGTACCAACTGCGTCTTTCACTTGGTAAACAAATTAAAGTGCACTGCATCTTTCTTTAAATGGGAAAGTGATGCAGGTTGAATTGACAGATTTTGGAGATTGTGTCATTGGTTGGTAGCTGTGACATGCCATTAGGCCGGGAGCTGCTATGACATTTGCGGTTGATTTTTGCTCGAGCGAACTCGCCCACCCAAGAACTTTCCCCACCGAGAAGCATCTACCTTTGAAAGGCTCGGCATTAAGCTATTGTTCATTTAAGCCGTTTCTGAACTTACCGTTCCAAAAATGCATTCCCTACCTTCTTCAAATTCTCCGTAGCAAATATTTTTGCTAAAAATGGGTTTTTTTAGGCAAACAAACACAATTCCCCCGCCCCATTTAGTTCAGCAGATACGGCGGACTGATGCATATCTACCCATCTCCCTCATCTTTGATAGGCGTGCTTACAAACGACCGCTTGCACTTTGCAACCTCCCTACGAAGTGCAGAAAGTTATTCGATAGTTACGCGGCGTAAATACTTACCACGTTGTTTAAATTTAGTCCCGCTTCCTGTAGTCGGAGTCGAAGTCACCCATTCCTCATAATTTTAAATCAACCGTTTTGTGACAAAGGCGTTTTGAACAACACGGCCTTGGCTTGGAATAGCCCTGTTTAAAATGACAAAAATGCCAGGGACTGCAAAAACATGTGCCATTTTTTGATTTTGAAACGTTTAAGTAGTCAAACAATCACATTTCCTCATGAAATACCTTCCAGCGATTAATTATTTTTCTCATGCAACACCACAGCTTGTCATTTCGTCTTCACCTTCATGACATGTTGTGTTCAATCTCCTTTGCAAAAGTGTGCATCCAACGCGCCGTTTGTTTTAGTCAACCTGCTTTGAGTTCATAGGAGTAGAGCGGGAAAGTTGGATAGAGAGCGAAACGAATATCCCCTAATGCATCACCATCACCGATACTCTGCGAAGATTATGCTCGCATTAGCAAGTGGGCGCTGCCCTTAAAAAGGTAGCAAAATGTGGTGGAGAGCGGGGCGACCATTTTAAACTCCCCTCCCAACCCTCCTGCCTGCGTTCATGCAAATGCAAATTCGTTTGCTGCACGATCACACACTCCGCTCTGCGCTGTCTAAAAATAGTTGATCCGTACACTCTAAATTGCCGTAATCTGGATGCCACCCCACCCTCTTTTAAAGTAGGCCGCCCAACCCCTTGTCCCCCCCTCTGTCGATTAATCAGCGTCTGTGTGCCACCAAAACTCCCGCGCCGAAGTGGAGCATGAAGGCAGCGTTCCAAAATACTGCCTCGAGTAATGTTCGCGTGAGATGCGATTGTTGTACGCTAATTACGCGGATGTTAGGGCTTTTAAATGGCGCTCCGGCGCAACGATGGCCATCGATTTTTTCATTCAGTCCCCCGAGTTATTAAAACAAAAC